TAGAACAAATTGAAGCTATAAGATATTATATTGCAAAAGAAAAGAATATGCTTGTTATTATGAAAACTAGAGGCAGAAAATCCTTTAGTTATGCAGCCTTTGCTATTCTTTTTGATAGAATGCTATGTGGTTGCATACTGACATCATCTTAAGGATACTTGAATATGAATCAACCATTTTTGAGAAAATAGTATTTAAGTTTACTTATTTGCTTTATGTCACTCCAAAAAAATTATTGCTCAATCAATTACTTAAAAGTTATATAGTTGCTTATATAATAATAAGAAACTACAATTTGTAATTGATGAAGCTTATTGTATTTTTGATTTTTATTATTTCAGATAAAAAAAAATAATATAAATACAAAGCATAATAATAAGTTATTAATAAAATATTTTTTAGAGAAGAGTAGAGAAAATTAGCTATATTAAAACAATACTTTTCTAATGTCTAAATTATAGTTTAACAGCAATTTTATCTTAGAGCAATATAAAGGCTCTTCAAAACAATTTGAATATTAATAAGAATTGGTTTAGAATTATGAAAGGCATTGATTTACTATGCAAAGAGTTACTTTTCTTAGTAAAAGATCAAAAGAATACTATAGCAGATCAAATAATAAGTTTAATAAAGAATATAGATAAAACTAATCATATGATAATCTATTATGCACATGTTAAGGATTGTTTAAATGTCTATAAAATGCTAGATATAAAGACTGAGAAAATATTATTAAATATATATAATGGGCAATAGTTAAACAAAGAAAAAAAAGATGCAATAATAAAGTGGAACAAAGGTCAAACATATTTAATAATTCCAACATTAACATTTGGCTTAAGTATAAATATGCCTAACATTTGTCTAGTTTTATTTTATAATATTCCAATAAGTATGAGTAAGTATATATATCAATCTAATACAAAATATTTTTAAATAAAATAATTCTTTATATTTTCCTGAATAGCTAGTTTTATTTAATATACTAGTAGAGCTAAACAAGATCAATGAGCCTCAAAATGCAGTATCCTTTATTCTAAGAAGGATATTTGATAAATTATTCTATAATTTCTAATAATTAGAAAAGATATTATCTTTATATATTAAAAAATTTGTTGAATTAATTCTTAAATATATCTAATTTGTAGTAATGAGGACAGCAACAAAAAAACTATCCAAAGAGAACTTTATCTAGCTGAAGCACAACATAAATTATTTGAAGTAATATATTACTATATTACTCTTTATGAATATCAGTTTCAATTGGTGTCACAATATTATGCATGGCTAATGAATCTGATTCTACCTGTTTGTAATTCTTGTGATAATTGCCTCAAATGTGAAAAGAATAAACCAAACAAGTAAATGTAAAATTAAAAATATTAAATTTATTTTAAGTAGTAACACTCTTATATGAAAATAATGACAAAACAATCTTACTTTTAGATGTAGTAAATGTTTTCATTTGTGCAAAAAATGCATAACTTTAAAATAAAAAATTAGAACTAAAAGATCTTAGTAATTGTCTAAAACCAAAAATCTTATATACAAAGACATTAATCAAGTTGGCTTTGGCAGATCTAATTGGTTATAGTTTTGTTAAGCAAATAGTTTTTCTTGAATGAAAAGCAAATAAAGCCTGCTTGATATTCAGTTTAGTAATATAAGATATAATAGAAAATGCTGTTTTATTTATACAAGAAAAAACTTAGTTATATAAAATAAAAATGTAACAAAATTTTGTATTTTAGTTGTTATACTTATATCTTTCAAATAAAAATATATATACAATCAACTCCTATAAAGCCACTTGATATTGATATGAGAAAACATTAATGTTATACAACTAATCTTTCATCTGGTATGCAATATATAAAAAAATTATTTTATATTACTGCTAGTATATAATAAAATGATGTTGAATTATAATTATACTATATATTAGCAGAATGTACTGTAAAATAATTTTTTTATATGTTGCATAAAAGATCAGCTATATAATATTAATGTTTTCTTTTGTTATAAGAAAGTTGTCTATAGATTATTGAGATTTATTATTACTTGTTACTTGATGGATATTATAATATATTTGAATATAGAATATTCTAGATTTAATGTTAGATGTTCAGTTTCTATATTTATTACACAAAGTTGATTTACTAACTATTTTATATAAAAAAATAATCTATATACATTTTATCTTTAAATATAAAAGGATGCATATTACATATATATAATTTGTATCTAAAGTCATCTGATCTCGCAATAATGATCATTTCATTACTTTATTAACAAGCTTTTCATTATTATTTCTCGATCAGAACTTTATTAATATATATATAAAGAAAAAATAACATATGAAAATAAAAAGATAATCAATCTTAGTAAAAACCTATTTTTTAGAAATTTGTAATTTACTGATCCTAACTGTTCTCAAATATAACATTATTGTCTTATTATCTCAGCTGCCTATAGTTTGTATTTGTGTAAGGGTTAAGCTATCTTCATGGTAGCTGTTGCCTACCAATTCTAATGCTATGTGTAGTAAAATAATACTAAATACCTGCATTTTTGGCAATTCATTTAACAATCATACCAATGGTCTCAACAATTAGCTGTTTTTTCTCTTATAACAAAAAGAGAGGTTTATCATCTGTAGTTTCTAGTCTAATATATAAAGATTTATCTAGTAACTTAGCTGAACAGTAGTAACTATTTGAATACTCAATAAAAATAAATTTCCTATTTGCAAACTAATTAGTTTTAGAGAAATTTATTCAAATTCAGCATATTTTCTTTTTGATTTTAATATTTTTACATTTAATTTTACATAATTCACCAGAGTGATGCATAGTTCTAAGTCCAATAGCTATCAAAGCTGAATCATGAATCCAGAACTCTTCATTAACATATAGTAGTTTATTATTAATAAAGTGATTTAGAGCATTAATAAAAAGAAGATCACATGGCTATTTTGGTTCTTTATCTTTTCTATGTTCTTTCAAAAGTGCTTTAAAAAGTTTCTTAACTTTATAATTTTTAGTAAGGTCTGATAGTTGTACCTCTAAATGCTCTCTTAAAACTGTAACTAGAACATTTGCACAATTTGAAAAGAAATGTATAAGGTCAAGCCAGACCATAAAAGAAACTAGTATGTCTACTTTAAATAGTAGTGCTTCTAGACCCATAACCTTACAATAATTATTATATAGACTTCAAGCTTTGTCAAGATGCTGATTCTAGCCATGTGAAACTAAATTCTTTTATAAGTTCTAAGCTCTAATAAGTAACATATTGATTAACCTACTCTTATTGCTAGAAACTACCAATTGAGATTCTTCTATTTCTTTATTTTACCTGAAATCCTTTTTACAAAATTTATTTCAAAGGTGGTAGTACTAGTACATCTGTTTGATTGTGTAACAGAGTTGGCCATCATTCTGCAAAAACCCATCTGAGGACAATTACTATTATTACAGTTTTTTCCTTTATAATGTGCTGCAAAACTCAGTGAACTAAAGCCAAAAAAGAGCACACAAAGTTGTTTTCTCTACATCAACTTTAAGCAAAGCAATTTATTTTCTCTGAGTTGGAACAATAAAAGCAACTGTTGAAGCAAGAAAGCTTTGTATTCTGATGGTTTGGCATGTAATTTATTGTATAAGGTCATCATCTTTCTTCTATAATTTTAAAAACAGATTGCTCTAGATACCAATTGTTTGGGTTTATATATCTGGTTAGCAAGTCTGCTAGGTTTAACTCTGATGAAATTCAAAAAATCTCACTTATCCAAATATCAAACCTGGTCAACTTTTTTATAGTCTTTTTAACAAATTCTTTTGCCATATCAGTGTTTCTTTCTTTATCATTTTGCTTATAGCTTCTTGATTGTTAATATGTAAATCTATTTAGGAGTGTTTTAAAAGTCTTGCAAAAGATTTTATTGCCAATATCACTGCCTCTGCTTCTAGTCTAATAATCCTGATATGACTTTTTTAAACTTCAATTTCTGAAGATCCAGTGTTTTCTAAAAATTGCTAACTAGTCTATTGTTAAAGCATTGACAAATATCTGCTTGACCTTTGAAGGTTTTTAAGCTGAATGATTATTTTGTTTTTTTTAAAATTTGAGACAACTATCTGACATCTTTTTTTGCTTGTTCTGTTATATAAACTGGTAAGTTCCATTGCTATACTCTTCTTTTGACTGCATTTATTATTGTATAAAATTCTAAGCAGTGGACCTTGGCATGGGCAAATGCTCTGTTTAATAATTAAATTTCTTTTGCTATTGTAGCTAACTCCTATACTAAAATCCTCTTTTTGTTTGCTAATTCATCTAATAACTTTTCTTTTTTTGTAATTTTGTCTTTTGAAACTATTATCTGTGCTTTTATCATATCTATTAACAAACCAAAAAACCTCATCTGCTATGTTGAAATTCACTAATCTTTTAACATTTCTCTTATTAAACCACATCTTTCTATATTTACTTTTATTACTTGATCTTTTAATGATATTAAAGTGTCTAATAAAGGGTATGCTAACCAGAAATCATCTAAATAGTTCTTACAATACAAACCTAGTGACCTCCAATGACTCACAATTGATCTTATAATCTTTAAAAAGACCCAAACAGCTTGTGACAAACCAAAAAGAATCTGATAGTAATATTAATTGTTTATTATTCTGAAATTCAGAAATCATTATGCATCTTCTTTTATCATAACATGATAGTAACCCTCTTTTAGATCCTATGTAATCATATATAATCCCTTTTTTATCATCTGAAGTAAGCCATCCAAGCCTCTAAATGCATCTTTTTCTCTGGTATAATAAAGTTCAGTTTTCTTAGATTAATTATCATTCTTTATTTCTTTGAACTCTTTCTGGAAACTAAGAAAACTATACTTATTTCTAACAGAAATTCAGGCCTCTTTTTTGATTTCCTAAACAACTAATTGCTGAGGTTTTTAATAGCTGATTTGTCTTTTCTACTACTTATTTATTTTGCTCTACAGATAGTGAATATTGACCTGAAACTTGTTGAGCTGCAAGCACCAAAATGCCTTTTGAAAAAAGAGGAACACCATTTGCTAACCAATTCATAACTACTTGAAAGGTCCTATTTTGCATCTCTAGTAGTTTAGTGCCTCCGTAGTTTGCATTCTTCCAATGACTGATTCCATTACTAATATATTTGCTATTCCTATAGGAATTGTATATTCTTTTAAAGAGGAGACATAATTGTAATCAATTAGTGTTTTAGGTTTGCTAAGAGTCTTGTTATTTGTGAAAGAACAATTGAAGGCAATATATCTGAGACCTTTACAATTGAAGCATGTAACTAATTGACATTTTGACCAACTGTATTCTCCTCTACTACTAAAGGAATGAATTTTTTTCTTTTATCTTTTTTATATAATTCATTTTCTTCTGAATCAGATAATGTTGGCAATAAATAATCCTTACCTCTCTTCTGATTATTTTTAGACTTGCTACTATACTTCTATTTACTAAAATATTAGTCTGACCATGTATTGCTAAAAATTGGAATACAATCCATGTATTTTTCCATTATTCTATTACTATTTTCACAATTTGCAAGGCAGTTCTCCAACCCTTACTATCAGCTAATCTCAAAGTAACTGCATGAGTTTCTATCTTCTCTCTGATTCCAATAAACTTCTTCCTAGCAGGAATTAGCAACCCTTTAATTGCTCTATCTAGGCACTTGCCTACCTTTGCCAGAAAATCATATTCATATTGATCACATGGTTTAGACAACTTAATATCTGGCCATGCCTCATCCAACAATTCTCCCTCCTCCAAATCCTTTTGCAAAGCAGAAAAGTTCCTATCCATTTTCTTTTCTATTTTACTCAAGACAGACATAAAAATATCAACTGAAAATGCTTCAACTCTATCTTTTTCTTGAAAATATGTAGCAAACTTATCTCTAATCCTGTGATCAGCTTCCTGAAAGCCAACATCCAAATAATCACTTTCTAAGTCGATTATTGGTTTATCTGCAGAGATTCTTTCACTAAAATCATCCACATCTTCCTCTGGAAGTTCTCCTACTTCAACATTACCTTCTTGAAGTTTTTCTGACAACTTTCCTCTTCTTTTCTCAAAGTATCCTGTAACCTATCACTTAACTCCTCCTTGTTGCCTCCTGTAGAGAGCCCACATGTCTCACATAGGTCCTGTAACTCCTTAACGGTTAACTTTGTCCAACTGACAACTGACATACTGCAAGCGCTATATGACTATTTGAGTATCAAAGTTTTTTATTTATTTATTTTATTTATTTATTTATTTATTTTATTTATTTATTTATATATTGTATTCTTAAGTAAGAAAAGTGTTAGCAACAATAAATGATGGAGCCAGCCCTAACTACTGGGCGAGCAATAACGAACAGAAAGATAAACAATTTCTCCTTTAAAGGTCAATCCTTAAATAACCCACCTTACCCACGATAACCACGCAAACCCCATAACGTTTCCCTAGTCTTAATCAATAATTACTACTTATTTACAATTCATGGATAACCAAAATAAAACTATTCATATGTTATCCTGGTACTAATCTTGGATCAACAAGATACTAAATAAATCCGTTAAACATAAAAGGATGCACATTACATGCATATGATTTGTGCCTAAAGTCACCCGATCTCGCAATAATGATCGCTTCGTCACTTCATTGACAAGCTTCTCAATTATTGGTCATGATTTTTATAGCTGTAAAAATAAAAATGTATTGGTTAACTAAAATCAATAGATAAACAAGTTTAAAAACACTGTTATATAAGAAATCTTTATATTTGATTAAAAGCGAATCAAAAATGCTGTTTTTGATTGATCTTCAATACCGTTTCTAATACGATATAAAAATTTATTTCTAATAAGCTTTTAAAAACTGCATTACTATCAAAGTAGTGAAGCTATGGTGTAAAATTTGATAGCCTATTATTAATATCTAATTTAATTGTAAAATAATATATATATAGCATATAACATTCAAGACAACAATAAATTAACAATAGCAACCATTAAAGGTTTTCATCACAAATGCTCTTAACATATGAGGGTGCCTATATTAAAAAGGCCCATTTTGACAATTTTTAAAATTATTTTATTTTATTTTTGGATAGGCATATATACAATAAAAAAGGATGTTATAAGTAGCAGAAGCTAATTATATGATAAAAAGATTTACAAAATGAACTTAAAGTAAATATCTTATCCATTTGACGATTATCATTTAAATTCAAAATGAATAATTTATTGGTCTTTGAAGTTAGCATACGTTAGAAGTTGCAATTTTCAAACTTTGAAGCTGACTAATTGAAATGAACCTTTGAAATTAATTTTACCTTTAGACATGTGCATCTTTAGATGTTTGAAGTTGATGATAACTTTAAGCATAAAATATAAATTGTAATATCCAACCAATAAAATACTTTAGTGCTTTTATATTACAGTATTGTCACATATGAGACAAAATTCACCTGCGGTGATTTATGGAAAACCTCTTTTATGATAATGGGAGTAATATCAAAGAGTATGTAAAGAATCTTTACAAAATATTAATCGAAAAAATATGGAATTTTTAACAGATAAACAGCTGGATTCTTTTTTTGGGGAACTTAAAGGCGATGTACTGCTAATATTAAAGCATGAGTTTGAGCACTTTTATTTTGTGAATGTAAAGAGACATGAAAAATTTTAGCCAATGTAATTTTTTATAAACATAAAGCATAATACTGTAATATTAAAAAAATTATCGAACGTAATTATAGTAAGTTTGATATTAAAATCGACCAAGTTATTCTTCAATCGGTGAAAATTAAAGAATGGAACAATAATCGACAAAATCTGTGACGCAGAACATAATAAATAGAGAATAAACAAGGCTTTTACAAAATCCGGGCTTCACTGCAAACGAATACCAAGCGGACTATTACATGCCAAGTTTGTAAGTTCGTAATATTAAAATATTCCTAGTTCATAATATTCAAAAACGCTTCTAACACTAAATATACAAGAACTATACTTTCATTATACTCAAGGCAGGCATCTGTAAATTTTTGCGATTCACAGTGTGTCTAAAGAATATGCATTTAAAAAGTTTATACATATGTAAATTTCTGACTCAAGATGATAACTCAAGACGACATGGACGTATTTTATATTATAAAATAAATTATAACTATGAAATTTTACATATGTGCAAAATTTGAACTTGCATTGTTAAACGTACACATATGAATTTAGTATTTATCTTAAGTTTAACTGCACCGTAATATTTATTTTTTAAAAATTTATACCGATTGCAAAACGGTCTTTGTTTTCCATTTGAGAATGACACATGTCAAGTTTAAAAATTGACATAAAATTGGGAAATGACGCAAACAATTTCTGTCAATTTTCGTTAATAAGAATTAAAAAAAAAAAAAAAGTGGGCATTTATTCCCAAGTATTAGATTCTAATAATTATATTATATATTATATAAGCATATATTGTAACAAATATTCTTAAAACACATTCATTTTAAGGATTTATCATTTTGCAGATAGCAAATATAACCGGTTAAAAATTTTCAAAATTAATGGATTTTCTAAGATTATAAATTTTAAGAAAAATGAACCATTACTGCTGCTACTACAATAAGGCTAAACAGAAGTTTGTATCCAGAAATGCTTGATTCAGTGAAACTTGCAGCAGCACTGGCCGTTGGTGTAGGTGTAGGTGTAGATGCTGATTTCCTAAAAAGATATATAGCATGGTTAAAATTGTTCATTTTGATGCTTTAAAACTTGTGCATGACTCGTAAAATACTTACGGAGCACCTTGAGTGCCTGCGGGTGATTTAGCAGATGGTTGAGGTTGAGGTTGAGGTTGAGGCTGAGGTTGAGGTTGAGGCTGAGGCTGAGCTGCTGCAGAAGTTACAGCAGGTGGAGCGGCACTGGCAGCAGGTGCACCAGATGCCGCCGGAGCTGCACCAGATGCCGCTGGAGCTGCACCAGATGCAGCTGGAGCTGGAGCTGCAGGTGCGGTGCCAGCAGGTGCGCCGGCTTGGAAGACAGTGAAAGTACCAGAATACTTATCACCAGACCCGTCATTAAGAGCAAGGTAATAAGTTCCTGCGGGAACATTGACAGTCCATTGGTAAGACTGAGTAGAGAGAGTTATAGTAGAGCTAATTATAACTGTGTTCTTTGTCGTGTTTTCGATAACACTTAGAGTGCCCGGAAGTGGATTCGCTTGTGTGGTATATGACCAGGTGATTGTAATAGTAGCTCCAACTGCAACACTACCGCCAGGTGTATTAATTGATTGAACCTCTGAAATATAGATACAATGTATTTAATTCGAATTAATTATCATCCTTTATGTCCTTCTGGCTTTTTTTTTGATTACTTATAGATAGTTAGAATTATCTATTTTTTGTAAAATATTTTTAAACAAGCAATAGTTTATATTCAAACAAAATAAGCTAGGGTAAGCTAAATTACATCTCTCTTTGACTTTTGTAATAATAATCCTATAACCCTTTTATCAAACTCTCTTTAAATAATTTGCAAAAGAAAATTAACAACTTACGGGCTAAAGTAGATCCAATAAAGGCTAAGAATAAAGTGAGGAAGTAAATGAGTCGTGACATGGTTACTTATGTCCAGGTTGGATAGTTTTTAGCCTTAGGTATTTGTTCCTGTGGCAAATAATCAGGAGAAACGAACAAAAGTGAAAGACTTTTTCTTTTATAATTCAAAGTGAGGTGACCTGGATAGATTTTGAGTAATAAAACAATTAAGTTCGTTTCACAGCAATATAAATATAAACATTAACATAAATAAATAATATAAATATAATAAAAAATGCAACATAACTT